AGGGGGGGAGGTCCACTTGTCGGTAGTCGGTTAAAATTTTTGATTTTTGTCGGTTGTCTACAAATCTCAGTTAATAAGAAAAATCGCTTGTTAATTATTAATATTTTTTATGTATTTTACCCACTTTCAAGACTTTGATCCCTAAGGAAAGAGTAAAACTTGTAAGAATGCATCATTTGGTTGCACTTAAACTTTATTAACTCTTGTTTGTTTATGCAACATGATCGTTTATTTCACCATTGTTTGCTAAATGAATATCATGAGTACTGATAAAATCATTGTAAATGCGAACTTGGTATCCCTGTCGACTACAGGGAACGGTAAAAAGTAATTAATTGATTAATGGACTCCAGCCTTTTGGATACCTAAATTATTCTTAGTGAATAACTGCAAGGGGTGACAGGCTGCACATCTATACCTTTAATGTTTTGGCTCTAACAAGCATGTCCTTTGCCATAATTTCGTTTCTGAAAGAAATAACACTTTAACCCTTGGACGTACAAGGGGTGGGGGGCGGCGGTGGATGCCACCCCCTTTAGGTTTTTCTGGGATTTTTCAAAGAGGATAAAACATCAGCACCTGACGTTTTCAGTAGACGTTCGTTTATCCCTTGCACGCATTTTGAGACAGTTCAGTGATGACCAGTTTCTATGGTTACGAGGTATGACGTAATAAGTAGCAGGTGGTCAAGCGATTTTGAGTGAAAGTGTGTTTTTTTTTCAAATTTTTTCAAAAATAAAAGTAAATCTTGTGGCTAAAATCACGCAAAGTGCTTATTTGTGTGTTATTATTCATGTCAAGCAATTACCATTTCTCGCTGCTTTAACCTGATTTCTAATTCTTGGTAAAATCCAAGATGGCGGCCAAGATGGCGACCATTGTTGGTGACGTCACAGCCTTCCAGCAGCGCCGCCGTTCATAAAATATACCTCATCTTGTTAAGAAGATCAAAGGCTTTCCAGTGAAGGCAAATCGCTTCGAAATACTGCAACACATCAAAAACTCTAGGGAGGGGTTCCATCTACCCTCCTCTTGTACCAGGGTGGGGGGTATGATTTTGCGTGTACGTCCGAGGGTTAAGTGGTTCTTTAAAATTTGGCAAGGCAGTGGTTGGTTTTGTATGAGATTACAATTTTTCATTAAAGCTTTTTTTATAATAGACACTAAGGGTTTGTATTGTGTCACAAAAGGCAATATTTCTTTTTCTTCCTTGTTGTTTTGTTTCAGGAGCGCTGCTTTCCCTCTGTGAGTTTTACTTCTGATAGCGAGTTTTCTTTCAAAATTGTGTGGCCAGCCTCTGTCCATCAACCACTTTTTGAAATCTGAAATACTTCCTCAGAGGTGTTTGTTCGTAGGATTCTCAAGGCTTCTTGTTTGTCAATCCCTTTTAACAATTAGTGGGTGATAAGAGGTGAAAATGTATATATTGTAAGGTTTCCGTTTAAAATGCGTCTTTATGTCAATGATAGCTTTTTCTCATTCTTTGTTGAATGCTGTGCCTCGGTATTCAACCGGGTCTAAAAAGATTGTCTCATTGTCGTATATTTCGGCCGTAAATTTCATAGCCAGTAGAGCAGTCTGAGCAGTAGGGTGAAGTAAGTTTACTTGTTCCGTGAATTTGAAGAAATCTACCATGTCTGGTTTACTTATATCCCATTAAAAAAAAATATCATCTGCGTAGCGTTTTCAAAAAGTTGATTTAAAGACGGTTTTGCTCAAAGTTTGTGTTTCAATATATGCGGCAATGAAAATGTTGGAAAGGAAACTGCTGCTATGTGCTCATCGCGGTACCGTGGTATTTTACTGACAGTGCTTTCCAGTAAGCTGGAAAGAATTTTCTTTGAGGATTAATCTAAGCATTTCTGGGACCGAAACATGAAACGTTCAGTTTTTTCACCTTTGTCTTTTCAATAAAATTTATAAAGTCGGTAGCATCTTTAACGTGTGGCTTCTGTGATTATGATATTGGTTGTAGTCATAATGTACCTGTATCAACAAAAGAGGAAGTTCTTTCTGTTAGACCATCTGATGAGTCATAAATTTAAAAAGGTTACTTCCTAATGGCTAGAAATAAATGAAAAAATGCTCTTTTTTCTGAAAACAAATATTGACATTGTCAGCCCATGTCGGTAGTCGGTTAATATTTTTCCTGTCGGTAGTAAGTAATTTTTACTCGTTTTGTCGGTTAGTCAGTAATATTTTCCGCCCTTTGTCGCTAGTCGGTTAACCCCATTCACACCCACTTAATTGCTTAGAGTGACCCCCCGACATCCAAACCCGTCTTACGTAACCAAAACAGGTTTTCCTTGCATATTGCTTAAAAGTCGTAAACATGTATTTGCGCAGTTTTGCATTTTGATTGCTGGCTGATAAGAATCCAAGTCATAGTTTTAGCTTATTCTGGCTGCAGCGTGGATGCCGTTTGCGCTAAGGTACGTCCTGCTAACAGCAAAACTGTTCATTAACTCTAAACCAACTTTTTAAAATCGCTGGTGGTACTTACAGTAGAACCTCGGTAACTCGAACTCGGATAACTCGAATTCCCCGCTAACTCGAACTAAATTTCCTTTCCCTTGATCACAATTCGCTTAAATTTACCTCGATAACTCGAATTCCTCGCTAACTCGAACTGTTTTCCGTTTGCCTTTAGCGTGAGGTTCTCAGTACTGTATTTCGATTATTTCCTTTTAGTAATTATGGATACGCGCGATAGCAGCAGCCAAGATGATCCAGATTGCAGACACTGACTGATTGGGACACTAGAACTGTAGGATCACCGTTCAGTGATCTTCAATGTTGTTCTACAAACACTTTGTTTCGCCGAGTATAATTTTTCAGGTAGGCGATGAAGCTTCATTAATTATTCTCAGTAAACATGATGATTTTTAAGCAGGTCGCAGTGCCGTAGTTTAAAGTTTAACGTCATGCTCAAATTATGGCCGGAAAGTTCCATTGCGGCATATCTGCCAACTAAAGCGTGAAGGACAACATAGAGCTATAACATTTCATTGCGACAGAATTTTCACTTTTTGTACTGAGTTGCCGGTAAGGCAAGACTTAACGCCGATTTTATTATTATTGTTATTATTTTCTGAAAGCTCTGTTTCTGGTTGATGCTACCAGAATAACTTGAACCGTGAATCCATAGCCGGAATGAAATCGACGACCTTTGAGCACTGCAAATTTCAATAACTTTGCGAGAAATATATTCTTGAGATATGTAAATTCTTCTAAAATGGTCACGCTTGACTCTATACATCGCTGCAATTTTAGATGCGCAAAGGAATCAGTTTCTGACATGTTTTCCTATCTGAACTATCAAACATAAATATCAGTCAGGTGAGTTGTTCTCCATAGCAGTATTCCTTGTTTGTAAACATTGATTTTGCTATTGACATGTACCAGTGAACCACTAAAACAAAAGAACCGTTTGGTGTGTTAATATCAATAGGGATGTAACTCCTATATCGCCATTGGCTAGCTTATGGTTGCCCGGCAACCAGGCTTGAATACATTCATTACGAACAAGATATATAGGAACAATGTTAGTAACCGGGATGAGATCAAGTTAAACTTGCCCTCAACCATATTCACACATACATATATTTACAACTCAAAATTATTCGACCATCTTGCAACGACATTACGGAATACTGGCCATAGAAGCTGTCTCGAATTCTAGGTAGACTAAAGAAAATCAGTGTAAGGGCTACTTTATGCATCAAAGATTGCAACGAAATAAAAAAACTCCTGCGTTTCATGCAATTTTAAAAACACAAAAAAATTCTTATAAAAGCCCGAGAAAGTGATTTTCAAATTTCACAAAATTACATCTTACACATGAAATTTTTAGAATTTACCTGTATAATCACAATTCTTGTGAAATTTGACATTTATTTTCTCGGACTTCCATGAGAAATTTTCTTTGGTGTTACTACAGATGATTTATTACATCTTTAGCCCTTGAAAAATGTAAAAAAAAAATGCAATATTCTTTAAATTATTCTGGTACAAGATTTTTGTCCACTGACAAACTAAAATTACTCAATTTCCTGAAGGATTCCGTTTTAACATGTAATAACAACAAACATATACATGATATGTTCGACAAATACAAAAATTGTTAACTGGCGTTATTGGTAAGTTCAATTTTGTAACTTCAGTTGTGAAATAACCTTAATTTGCAAAGATTTCAAACATTGCGAGTTACAAGTTGAGAACGCTTGCATCGCGAAATTTTATGTCCTTTTTCATATTTGCCTTTTGAAATAGGGTTTCAGTGTTATTTTCCCGAAAATTTAAGATGCAATTTCACGCCTTTCGAAAGTGAGAATTTTTCTGATTCCTCTTTCCATCACATTTTTGAATACGAAAATTTTAGGTTTTTCTTTTGCACAATAGCCTAACCTGGGGAGTACAAAGTGAAAAATTAAACTCCAGAAAATCGTAGGGGATTCTTTAGATAACCCTCCAAAATTGTACATGAAAGGAATGGTCATCTAGAAATTTTTAGCTTTCTTCAAGTAATAGAAAATTTTAGGCAGTCTTTGCTTATTCGAACAGGAAAGAGTCGTTGTGTGCCCCTGAAGAAATCTCGAACCTCAGCGTATTCAAAGCAAAGCCGCTCAAACAAAACCTTGGTGAGTGGAACACCTCTTGCCAATTATCCCTAAATTTTATCGCCTTTACGTGCCTCGTATAATTCAGTTCAGTTCAATATTCTACTCTTACGTATAACATTTTGACGGTTTAGCGCCCAAGTACTTGAATGATCCACGTGATCTCCTTTGGACTTGCCTACAAGTCGAGCCTCAACTTTTTTAACGAGCGTGAAGCGCAAGTAGATTTTTTATGTTTTGTGCGGCAAGAAGCGAGCGAGAGACTACCGGAACCGGAAATGAGAAGCGAAGGACTTTGAGAAAGTCTAGATCTTCCTCTGCCTTGCTCCTTACACGCCCATCTCAGCGCTGGATAGTACACAGCTATCCCTCGTAGTAGAAATGGACAGTAGTAGATATACCGAGACGCAAGGTATATATCTAGCGCAATGTATCTACCTTGAGGGGCATAGTCGTTATAGAGAGCCAGTCAAAGGGCGCTATCCACTGATTGGCTGAATACTATTAATATTTCAAATATCTATCAACGAGCAATCTCTCTCCGGCCTCTCTCTGATGAGCGTTATTTCTGGCACTAATTAATTTTGTCTTTATTAATAATAATAATAATAATAATAATAATAATAATAATAATAACGATGTTATTCAACTTTAAAAATGCATGACATAATTTACAGAAATATTTGAAGTAAGAATTGAGCACCATACAACATTAAGAATTATATAAATCATAAAAATACCATCACTGTGTCAATAACGATTTCCCAAATACATCCTTGCTGCTCAGGTGCGATTGATAGCTCTTGCAGGCAGTCCATTGTTTTAAATAAAGTCATGACAAAAGAAAAATGTCCGTCTCTAATATTAAAAAGAAACAAGTTAAAAAGAATAAAATCTTGTATTCCTAAATTCTTAATTCTCTAAAATAATAATCATAATCATAATAATAGACTATTGTTATTATAATTTCAGAGGCAGTTCATTAATACTTGAAGAATGAGATGTTTTTATGCTTTCAAACAGAATTTGGCATGTCCCTCACCTGAGGAAAAAAATCAAGTTATCGTTGTGCCAAAACAGGTCCTTGGTTTAACGCCAGTGTTTAAAACTAACAATAACAACAAACAATTCTGTCACCTTTTCAAGTTCTTCTTATATTAATGTTTTGTATTCATTTATAAATTTAACTATTTTACACTTCCTTCATAGCATAGAAATAGCTTTTTACCTCTTCTCCTTTTTTTTTTTCCTTTTCTTTTTATTCGTGCATTTGTGCTTCAGTTTTCTTGCTGACCTGTAATTTAATTTTATTTAATTCTGATGTCAACTGGCTGCCTGGCCCCGCTAGCCCCCATGGTTATTCCAGGCGGCCAGCACTCTAATTTTCACTTTTAATATTTTCATGGTTGTAATTTATTTTTGAGCAAGAGTGAGTACAAATAAAGATTGTTGTTGTTGCTGAGGATTGTGATTAAGTAAAACTGAATAGTCTCACTCTGTTACAAAAACGTGGCTCTGCTTAATTGTAGTAGAGAATTGTTTCATATTTCAAATACATACAACAAGTGTTTTCCTCTGTTTCAATTCACTGATAACTGTAACAAGCGCAGAAGATGTATCTCAACCTGTTGGCCGGAAGCTGTTATCCACCTGTGTAACTTCACACAGAACTTGGCTCCTACTAATACTTAAAAACCAATTTGTCCAGATTAAACGGTTTCAGACTAAGATAACAGTTATTTAATAACTTTTAGATTTTTCAACAATATTTATGGTCAATCCTATGAATTCTAATTGACTTGAGAGGAAAACAGTGTCGTGTAAAATATTGTTAGGTAAATTTAGCATGTCCCTACCAGTGGCGTTGATTTTAATGACCGTCCCTAGTTGATTTACGTCCCTATCCTTAAAAGGTAACAAAACCAGCCATTTTTTCCTCATAGCCATCTGATATGTGATATGCAACCAGCGATGTTCATCGTTTTGTTCATTTGTTCATTGTTCATTTGCCGGGGGTATTTTGGAATTTATGATCATCATCATCCTTATTATCTTCATGTTTTTCTTTCATTTTTTAGAGGCAGTTCCGTCAAATATAGCTTATAAATGAGTATCCTTGAAGATGAACGGATAACTCTGAATTTCATCAGAACACAAGCCAGTTTTCACTGCTACACAAAGCTAATTACATATTTAACAGCATTCGTGCCTCTTAGCGCTCAGAAGCGAAAACGAACTAATTTCGGCTTTTCCCGCTTTTTCATTTGCTTGGATTCGATTGGTTCATTTGACTTTGGACCTTGTGATTGGCTCGACTTTTATGGTTGTATTATAGGACGCTTGAAACCGCTCTAATAGGGTCTTAAAACTATAATAAAACTCAAATCACTTTGACAAACCTACAAGCGTCCGCCATCATGTTACGCGGACACTTTATTTACCCTTAATCATTGAACTGAAATCCAACTTGCTCTTGGGACGACCTGGTTAACATCATTTCAAAATCCGCTGTCCACTCTATTTACTTTTGGATAGAAATCTATGGCAGCCTTAATATAACGTTATTTTTTGTTGCATTTGCAGTTTGTTTCCAGGAAGAAGGTCTGAGAACTAGGCGTGGGTTGGAAACCACCACCTGATTGTTTACAAAAGCGGAACTTGGTAACTTGTAGATTATTATTAGAACTTGATCAAAATAATATGCAAACAGTACAAAAAAGCGTACTAGGCAAAATTTTTGTGTGCTTCTTAACATACCTTTCCAAAAGTAATTCAACACGGGACTCAAACTGATATCGACTTGTGACTAGCTAATCCATAAATTAACTATTCTTATGTTAGCTTGTAGAGCAGGTGTTTTTCCACTTCTGTTATTATTGTTTTTGCCGTTATGGTAAACGTTGCTTTCGAAAGTTTGTTTCGAGTAGCATACGAAAACTGACCACATTTGAGTGTCTTTGTCATCGAAGTAGCTACAGTATTTGAATATCCTGTAAAACTGTTCATATTAAGCGCCTCGGCGACTTTATTTAAATTTTGCATCACACACCCAGGACAGTTTAATGATATTTCGAATTCATCTGACTTATTTCACCCTCCAACTCAGACTGCAGAGCCACATTACTTTAATCAATTGCAAGTCTTTAACTAATTATAATTTTTATTTATTATTCATTTATTCATCCACTTTTCCTGCTATAAGTACGAAGACGACTTTATGTAGTATAAAAACGGTAAATAAGACAGACGCATGTAACGTCTGACGGCATAAACGTTCTCTGTTATTAAGTGAGTCGTTCAGACGCACTTACAGACGACTTAAAAGTCTCAGACGTTAAATGCGTCTAGTTGACTTAAATGTCTCTAGTATAAAAATGGCCATGCTTTCTTTCGTTTTTCTTTGCTTCCGATCCTTATTGATGTCTCTTTTACATAACCAGGTAAAGAGACAGAGGGAAACATGGTGGCAAAGCGGAGATTTCGAATGCAAGGGACCCTCGACGGTGGTCTTAGTTGGTTGGTTGTTTTTGGATCATTCATGTCACAGTTTGTCGTTATGGGAATACACTTCGTTTTCGGCCTTTTGTACATTGATCTGTTAAACGAGTTTGGACAAAGCAAGGCCACCACAGGTGAGAATGAGTTGCAGCGTGGTGGGGCCCCCTAGTTCACTGCCCGCCATAGCCGCTGGCTGGATTTTTTCTCGATTTTCTCGAGTGAAACTCTTCGGCCACGCTTGAAAATAGCCAACTGGTTTGCTTCTGGCTTGTTGGGATTCTTAACCTTGTTATGTTTATTTTCAAATGTTTGTGTATGTTTTTATTCGTGGGCCTCAATGAAAACTAATGGGTCAGTATCTGTGATGTGTCTGCATTATCCAATAGCGAAGACGGAAATTGTTTCCTCGTACGAAGGACTAGCACTCCAAATGGAAAACATTTTGTTTGCAGGTGAAGTGGCCTAGTGGCTCGCTATGACACTCGCCGTAAATTTCCTTCCTTAATAGCAGTAGCTTTTTGGTCAGTAATCGTCAGCTCCACCCCTCGGCCACGCCTATTTATAGCAGCCACCCAGTCCATTTCCACTACAGTTGTTCTTACTGAAACCATGTTATGTTGAATTTAGGTTTGCCTGATTCTAAGGTTTGCAACAACAAAGCCCTGACAAATGCAGTGGAAACCCAACATTAGCGTATTGTAACTCCAAGAGCCGGGTTAAGCTGTCAGGTTAAAACTATTCCTGGATGAAGTAAAAGATATAATTTTAGTGATAAATTGAGCTATTATCAACGAAAGAGGACATGTAACAGTGTCAAAAAAGCGACCGTGACACTTTCAAAAGGATTTTTTTTAGCTTATCTGACAGCTGAATTTTTTGCCGTCAGGTTTACGGTTATGGTTTACCCAAGGTCCCGTTTATATGGAGAAAAATTGTCCCGGGAAACAGGGTCACTTTCCCAGCCGAGTGGTTTATAATTTATGAGAAAAAGGGTTGACCCCTTTACCCGATCGAGCCAACAGCACTTTGGCATGCTCTGGTTGCCTTGCCTTGACCGAGTTGACCCGACCGGGTGGGCCAAAGTTAGGAGGATGATCCCACTATCGAACTAAAAAGAGTGAACTTCTAGCGTAGGCAACCTTTTGTATCTCATGTAAACGGCTCGCCAACTTTTGTAAGGAAATGAAGGACAAGTTGTCTCACCCAGGGTAGCTTGGAAACCAGAGTGACCTTTCTACCCGGGACAAGTTTTCTCCATTTAACCGGGTCTCGAGACTCCTTCAGCTTAGTGTCCTCATTATTATCCCTTGACATTTTCGGCTTCGCCTTTTCTCAACAGCATGGGTTGCTTCGATTGCATTCGGCTTCACTTTTTGCCTGGCACCTCTGGGTAGTTTGCTGTGCAAAAAACTTGGTTGCAAAGTAGTCATGGCAGTCGGTGGAATAATGATCGGAATTGGTATTTTCCTTTCCTCTTTCGTCGATACGATTTTCCTCATGTATGTCACATATTCGTTGATATTCGGCCTGGGATCTAGCATGTGCTACATGGCTTCAGTTTTGGTGCTCAGCGAATACTTTAACAAAAATTTAGTTGTTGCCAATGGAATCGCTCTGGCTGGAGCGGGCGTGGGAGCCATATCACTTGCGCCCGCGCTCAGCTTTCTACTGGACAATTATAACTGGCGTAATGCAGTTCGTATTCTCAGTGGAGCGTCACTTGTGCTACTGTGCTGTGCATTTATTTATTATTTGGTGCCGTCGCCGCTGCAATTTGTCGATGCTGAGGATTGCCAAAAAGAAAAGAAATGTTTTGACTTCTCATTATTTAAGAACAAGGCTTATGTTCTGTTGATTGCTGCTAATGGATTGGTGTTATTTGGATTTTATATGCCATACGTTCACTTGGTAAGTTTATTCTCTAGTCAGTGGGTTTTAGTAGCTGTTAGTTAGCCCCTAAAAGAAACGTTTTTAGGGCATTACACACGGTAGGAAATCATGACGAAGCCCTTAAACGTCTGCGTGGGAGGCTAGTGGTTAAGTATGCTGCGGATTGATTCACGAAGTATTCCGTCAGAGAAATACTGAAGCTGAGCGGTTGGCTGCTCTAAGGTGACCAAAGGGGGCCAAAGGTAGCCTGTTCCAGGCTCTCAGATAGTAGGGATGACGCGTAAGTGAAAGGCACGCGAAAATGTGAGCGCGTGATTTTGGAAATGGGCGCGGTGGCGCTTTCTCAATTTCGCGGACCCAACTATCTCGGAGCCTGGAACAGGCCATGACATAGGCAGCTGATAAATATTATAGAACTTAAATCTGATATCGGAAAAAATGCCAGCGCGAGTGTAGCAAATTGGACTTTCTGCCCACAACTCGCGCTATACTTTCTCTCCAATTTTATTGCGAGTCATGTTTGGAGAAATCCTTTCTACTCACTGCCACCGGCAGGCTGCGAGATTTTATAGAAACAGACATTTCCAAGCAATTGATTGCGTGCATAACATTTTCTCTAAAACGGAAACTCTACTAATTTTATCACTATTGCTGTTATTTTATTAAACGCATAGCCTTAGTTTTTGAAAGTTTGATCAGGTGTATATTTTTTCTGCATAATTCTTTAATTGTAACAGGTAGCAAGATAGTGTTTATTGTCGTTTATAGCCCCCCTTCCAGTTATGAGCCCATCAACCTTTAAACAATGAAACATATTCGGCTATAAGCTCCCCGCGGTTGTAAGCCCCTCTCTAGCTTGAGGACCTTGTATTGACCTTGACGTCGATTCATTATGAAGTTTTGAATCTTAATTGTGATCATCATTGCTAGAGCATGTTTGAAAGCGGTTTTTCTACTCGGTTATCAGCCCCTACGGATATACGCCCCTCTATTTAGAAGCCCTCTTAAAACTCCCTGCGAAGCTTTATAAGCCCAGGGCTTATAAGGCGCAGTTTACGGTTGTTCAAAAGAACAAGTGTTCTATTGGCTTTAACTTTGTTATTTAAAGGGGTGTTTTCACTAGAAGTCTGGCAAGTTTTTGAACAAGCTGCTCTAGAATTACTTGCTCACATTTTCCTCGTTCACCTCTTTTGTCTCATACAGGTACGACACGGACAAGACCTTGGCATCCACAAACAGAAAGGTGGTGTTTTAGTCGGCTTCATTGCAGTGTCAGAAACAGTTGGAAAGATTATCGTTGGCCGAATTGCTGATCATCCGCGTGTGAACCGAGTTTACCTGTATCAGATGTGCATGTTGGTCTGTAGCGTTCTTACCACTCTTCTTCCTATTTTGACCTCCTATAAATCCCTGTTAGCCTATTGTATATTGTTTGGCGTCCACGATGGCGGCTTTGTCGTCCTTATAGCCGTATTAGTCGGAGATGTCGTCGGAAAGAAAAAGATGGCATCAGCCTATGGGATTATGTATTGTATTGCTAGTATTCCAATGATACTAGGACCACCAATAGCTGGTAAGTGTTGCATTGTGGGTGCAGCTGACAACTAAACTTATTTCAGCCAGGGGTGATCCAATCACAGTCAGACTGAGATTCTTCTCTCAAGAGGAGCCATGGGAAATGGCATGAGGCATTCTTTTACTTATTTGTTTTTGTAAAGGGTTTGTTTTTACCACAGCAGGATTAGCTCAGTCGATAGAGCGCTTGACTGCAGAGCGGGACTGAGGTCTGGGGCCGGACCAATACTCAGGATCTTAAAATAACTAAGAAATAAAGGTACTCCCTTTGCACTGCAAGCGGACAGACCTGGGGTGGCTCGGATGACCACTAACTGAATGGTGGTCCCGTCTCCAGTTAGTAATTTCCTGCTAAAAACATTGACACTCAAATATAGTGCTTATAGTCACTTAGTTGTTGATCGCAACTTGCCTATCCCTGTACAGCGTCTTCCCAGGCCTTCTGGATCGGTACATTTCGGTGACGTATCGGAGATGAACGGCTGGGACCACGTGATCCGGAAATCATTGGCCGCGCGCAATAATGAGGCCTAGGGACTAGGCAGGATCGCAACGTTTCGACTACGTTCTGCAGGTCTTTATCAGGAGGTGACGTCGTCCCCTATAACGCCAACAATGCTTAGGATCGAAACCCACCAACCATGAGTGAGGTTCGTGATACACCAATCACTACCAACCACGATGGTACTAATAGTACCGCTCAGTAAATTGACACCAGTGATGACTTGCATTCTGCGGTCGAAACGTAGCGATTAACAACCAAGTGACTATCGTGAAACAAACGACAGATATGAATCCTTTATACACATGCCACGATGACTGATATCTTTCATGATATTTATTTTTTGTTTCATTCTTCGGTTCCTTACAGGAAAATTAGTAAATATGATATACATTCTCTGGTATGTCTTCTGCTTTACTTTCGCATCTAGAAATGTTCTTTTTTCTTTAACGTCTTTTGTTTTATTACAATTTTACTAGTTTTTGTTGATGATGTGTAAAAAAGGGGTTTCACTCAGAGAAATTAAATATAGCCTTGGGGGAAGGGGCGAAAAGAGACTCCTTGTGGTGAGAGTGAGTGTTAAATTTCCGAACATGTGCTCTGTGAGTAGGAAAAAAACTGGCGTGTGCAATCTTTTCCCTGTGTATTTTTTAACTTTTTTTTATTTATTCATTACTTGTTTATTATACCTATTTTAGGATGGATGTATCCTATTCTCCAGTCGTACGTGCCTGCGTTTTACATGTCTGGCGCCTTCACTACACTTGGAGTATGTCTTTTATTTTTGATTCCTATTCTACTTCCTCCTGAAATTGCTCAAGAGTGGCGCATGCGTAGAAAAGGTTATCGGGTGCAAATCCCATCATCCACCCCAAGTCAAGCTACAAAATCATTGACTTTGGATTCCGGGTCATTCTCTTCTGAGTCGGAAGATCGTGACAGTAAAGTTTCGGAGTCTGGTAAAGGGGTGAAGTGTTATGAAAAGAAAGATATCACCGTTTCGTTGGTAAAAGATTCTGTTGAATTGGAGATTGTCAAAGAAAAAGCGGATACATCAACTGTAGGATGTGTCCTAGAAAAATACTTTTCTATGCCTAAACTCGTAAACCAACAAGACTGCGTTTTGGGATATTTCAGTGACTACTCAAGGGATTCAGAAGACGTGTGGATTCACTCTTTGGACCCGAACAGAGAGACTATGGTTTAGTTTAATAACACTTAAGTTGAATATTTATTTCAATTAGATAATATATTCATAACGGTGAAAATATTTCGAAAAAGGGCAGAACTGTCGCGGCCCTTTGATGGTGACAAAAAGAAACAGATCGAGTCGGATCGAGTCTTATATGAACAATGAAAATGAGCTTTTCAGTAAACGCAAGACTATAACCTTTAATTGGAAGTCAACGTTAATGTAGACTATGTTCACAGTATATACTGGACACCTCTTGCGCCGGCACGAAAACCATACCAGACAGGGCTTCTATTCACACAATACAACGGTGATTTCAGCGGGATTTCTGCTACGGAGCGAAGATGCGCTGCGCTGATATCGAAAGTGGAGTATCACATATCGGTTAGTTTCAGTGACACACTTTGGTACAGTGTGAACAGGTATTTGGACCGTAGCCGCAGTAAATAAGAAGGCGCGAGGACTGAAATCCATTGAGACCGAAGTAAACATTCAAGGCCCAGTTTTTCGAAGGCCAGTTAGCGCTTAACCCAGTGTTAAATTTAACCCTGGTTTCTTTTTCTTTTGTTCAAAAGCATTTTCTCGGATAGTTTTCGCTGTCATTTTAAGCTTTCATATCTGAATTCAAATTTCGCAAATTCCTGGGTTATCTTAACCCAGCTTTGAAAGACCCGGCCCAGGAGTGAGGACTGGGATTTGGTTCAGCAAACCCTCACGGTGAATCCCTCAGGCACGATGTTCGATGTGTGTTAAAGATTGCCTAGTCCCTGTATGGCGTTTTCCCAGGCCCTCTGATTCAATTCACTTCGGTGGGGAGACGCCGTCACTTCGTCGCTTGAACCACGTGACCCGAAACGTATTGGCCGCGCGAAATAATGAGGCCTAGGGACTATGCAATGTTGACGACTCGTTCCAGTTGTGTTCCGTTGCTGTTCATACTTAACTATACCTTTGGCTTTAGCTTTATTTCAAGAGATATTACAAATAAATAATTTTTAATTATTTATATAACCTAGTCTACGGCGCGTCTAGGATTTAGTGGAGGGGTTTCGGATAAATGTCTGCTAGAGGCAAACCATCCTAGGGGGGTCGGGGCATGCTCCCCCTGAAAATTTTGAATAAAGGTCCTGTGAAAGGTGATTTCCAGGATTTTAAACGATTATTGTAGGTTGTCACATGCCTTTGAAACGACCTCTTTCTCTAGCTATTTTTAAACATGGACTACTCTTAAAAATTTACAATAATCGAGACCAATATCGAAAATAAACCTGAAATAACGGTTATAAATTTGTATTTGCCATGTGCTCTGAATCACTCTTGACTTTTCTTGAGTTTTTTGAAAGGGTGCTAGATATAAGTCCTGAAAAACTGGGCGCCTACAAACCTGGTCAATATTTATCGATTGACTACTCCGAGATTTTAATACTTAAGGCAGATTTCTGGAGTATAAAGCCCAGGAAGTCAGGTATTGTTCTTGCTAAAGGGCTTTGTGACGAGTTCACCATTTGATATGTGGACATTTCTGGGAAATTAGAATTATATTTGTTTTCAATTATTGTCTTAATATAAATTAGAATACTAATATAAAAAAGAGGTTTATTTAACTGAGTTGAGAGCTGTAGATTTAATAATACATTACCTCTGCTTACATTAGAATTTAAAGCTGCCTGAACGATCGATTTGTTGGTTTTCATCCGTTTAGTCTGTTTAAAAAATGTGTCCTAGATATTTATAAAGCGCTAATGGATTTGTGCACTTCAGCCCGGTTACAAGGATGAAAGTGGTTTGAATTCTGGCGGTCCGGATGGCATCGTCTTCCATTGCCTGCTGCATTTTCCACAATATAAGCATCCCATTTTACTACAGTGATACAGTTTTAAGAGTTGCCGAAGCTATGATAGGCTCGAAAGTTAAAATTTTTGTATTTCGTCATGTTCAGCTTTGTTTCTCGAATTTGGCGCCAGATATAGTCCCTAGGATCTTTGGCCTTTTCTCAATTCTCATCTCGGAGATCGGGCAGAAATTTCTCATACGAACCCAGGGCGAAATTCATCCGAGCTCATGTAAAGAGGCCCTTGCGAAGCGAAATCGGGAGCAATGGACGTAGGTGAATCGACCTTTTCTTTATTGAATCAAATTTCTTTTGATCAAGGATTTGAATAAAATGTAGGGGCGATGACTTTAATACTTCTATGATCATGTATGATCAATCTATTATTTGAGGAACCTCCTTTCATATTATTAAACTATACAGAACAGACAGCTTTTTAATTTTATGACACTCTTTTTGCCTACGAAGCAGGGGTGGGTAGGGGGTGGGGGATGGGGGATGTGATACAAATTTCAATTTGCACGTTGTTAAATAATATTTATAACATCAAAGAAATGAAATGTTCTTATACGGATATACAACAAGGCTTAAATATAATCACAGGACTGTTTAATTGGCTTATGCTGCGTAAAATTTAATGAAGTTGCCTTCTAAATTGAAAGGTGCTCCAAATGGCGAAGTTGCCAAAACGTTGCCGAGCAACTTGTGGCTAGGGCTAGTCAATGGTCACGTGACCTGAATTACAGCGATCCGACCGAAAGGGACTGGGGGCTACTTATAACCGAGCATGCTCGTTTACGATCATTTAAAATGGCGCGTACTGTGAAACTCAGCGGAGGTTTTGAACTCTCTTGTAGAATATATTGAGATGACGATATGGTTATGGTTTTATTTCTTAACCTTTTATTAAGTTATCTCCGAATATACAATTTTTTAAAATTCAAATTTCTTGCGTTTCAGTGAACAAACCGGCATTCTCGGTAAGAATTTCCCTCCATGGCCACACCATCAATCGCCGGAGGTGGTGCGGTCATTGATACCATATTCTCCTCGGTACCGAATTTAGATCAAGAGCCGGACCATCAACGTCATCAACGCGTCCTTTAACAAGAACGCTCTTAACATCGGCGTTAAGTCTCGCTTGCTTGGAGATTAGTATAGGTAATAGCATGATTTGTAGTGATTTTTGGCATAAATAACACAAATGATATTTCAAAACTGTTATACGTAATTTCACGAGCCGTTAGGCGAGAAAAATTTGAGACAATTTTGAAACATCACAAGTGGTATTTATGCCAAATATCATGTACAAATATTTCAAATTTAGCTGAAATACTACTACTCTAAGCCAATCAAATTGCAAAAATTTCTCATGTAGTAGTATAAGATGAGAAATGAGGAGGCGGTCAATTCTACACGAAACAGGATTTACTTGCTAACGGTTTTTCACTTCCTAGTTTATCGACGGTCGAGTATTCTTCAGGATATTTACTTTTTATATCGTATTCGACTATTTGCCTTCTGAATTGATTTAGTATTTTTAGCGACGACCGGAAATACATCTGCGGTCGTACGCGTGTGTAATTACACCAAATTCAAGGGCCTCGATTCGAGAGAGATTACATCATTTCCAGAGATCAAAAACGTGATGAGAACATGGCACGTCATTTCAATCATCGCCTAAAATGAACCGCATCCTCATTACAACACTCATTTGCGTACAATGAAAGTTTTTAACACCCGACCAGTTAGCCTTTCTTAATTAAGATTTTTCTTTTCTTTCGACCACTGAAGTGTTCACTTGTTCCAAATTTATCAAATCTCTCAAGCGATAGAATTCGTGGATCGACCCGTTCCGGAAAAGCTCTAAATTGCATTAATCTTTCGTAAGCTTTCTTCGCAAAACATGCGTCGAGGCTTCTGTCACGCAACCATTCTTATTCCCAGTTTCCACGGTCTCCGCTAGGAACGCCAGGGGCCATGGCTTCCCCTTTGTGTCCTAAATACGAAGAAAAACGGCTTTGCTGATTATGAGTCTCGCTGCTTACGCCAGCGAGACTACCAAGCCTCTGTCTCAGTTGAAGCCGGCGGAGAAAAGTGTAAATGCCCATTTCAAACCATTTTATAGGAAAAAGACCAAAAAAATCGTTTTTATTAGTTTCCTTTTTCATCTTTTCTCTCCACAACCCCAGACCAACCTGATCTGGCGTAGTTCTCCCCACCATAACCAGTTATTTTATAGTAATGTTTTGTTTCACGATGCTAGGATCCTCATTAAAGTCGATTTACATTTTTGGAATGAAATGCCAGACTACTTTACTTTGCTAGAGCAAGAGGAGCCTATAAGTCACTTGCCTGTCGAAAATTACGTTGTGTCTGTCGTGGTCGCATACTGGGGCTGCTGGCCGGATGCTAGGCAACATAGGAACTCTGCAAAAATATTAATTTCAGGATGGATACGAACGTAAAAAACTTAAGCTTCTTTTCGCCATATTAAAGACTACATAGATCTTCTACTGGCCAAATTTCAGAACTCTTGCGACTAAGGAAGGAATGTTATAGCAGTTTTAAACAGGAGTGGCCGGATACTGGGAAACATACTGTACTGAGTACTTTTAATAGCAGGTATTTCATTTATTATTTCTCTTAAATAGGGGCAGGATTTAAGAGCCTTCTCGGCACATACCTACCCTAAATTGCCATAGTGACCCCCTGACATCCAAACCCGTCTTATGTAACCAAAACAGGTTTTCCTGGTATACTGCTTAAAAGCCGTATTAAAACATGTTTTTGCGTTTCGCATTTTGGTTGCCGGCTGATAAGAATCCAAGTCATACTTTTAGCTAATTCTAGCTGCAGTCTGGATGCCGTTTGCGCTAAGGTACGTTCCAGCACCGGATCTCCGAAACTAACAGCAAAGCTGTTCATTAACTCTAAACCTACTTTTTAAAACCGCTGTTGGTACTTACAGTAGAACCTCGATAACTCGAACTCGGATAACTCGAATTCCCCCCGAATTCCCCGCTAACTCGAACTAAATTTCCTTTCCCTTGATCACAATGCACTGAAATTTACCGCGATAACTCGAATTCCTCGCTAACTTGAACTGTTTTTCGTTTCCCTTCAGCGTGAGGTTCTCAGTACTGTATTTCGATTATTTTCTTTTAGTAACTATGGACACACGTGATATAGCAGCAGCCAAGACGATCCAGATTGCAGGCACTGACTGATTGGGATACTAGAATCTGTACGATCACCGTTGAATGTTAATTGTTCTACAAACACTTTGTTTCGCCGTGAATAATTTTTCAGGTAGGCAATGAAGCTGCATTAATTATAATAACAAAAATCTTTATTAACATATGACCAATTTAAATTTCACTCTCATAGACTAAACTTTTGATGAAATAAAAATATTAAAAGATCCTAAAACACTAATTAGTGTTTTCCTATTTATTAGAAATGGAAAATGCCTTTCCGTCATTTTCATTAAAACAATAAAGATGCATAGCTCACACGCAGAGTAATGAAAGCAACCCAAAGCAAGCACCTCAGTCGCTTCACGGTTGTCTCGCACGATCGACAGGGCGTTATGATATGGACAAACCGGTTTTTAATGAGATGATAGCATATATGAACATGCCTCTCACGCTTTTTCTCTTTTTTTTGTTGTTGAAATCAGCATGCCAGTGATGTTAAACTTTATATTTTTCTAACCTGCTGAATTGGCTAGACGTCCAATGATTTTACATTAAATGTACATCTCACGCTAATCTTTTAATAAAATGCTTTCGACTTTTTGAAAGAAATCCATATGCCGGCTTTTTTCGAGCAAGCGTCATAGAGGCGTTAAACTAGGAACTTTTGATAATGACAGAAAACATATTTCCGAACAAAAGGGATTTCCACTTGATCGGAAAACCCTAATTTACAAGCTCACGCCATTATCAAATTACCGGACAATGCTTGGCTACCTTTTAAGCGGCAGTCATCATATGACCAATTTACATTCCATTAACATAGACTAAAATTTTGATGAAATAAAAATATTATTAAAGATCAACTCAGTAAACAGTAAACAGCTCCGTTTCTGGTTAATGCTACCAGACTGAGTTGAACCGTGAATCCATAGCCGGAATGAAATCGATGACCTTTGAGCACTGCAAATTTCAATAACTTTGCGAGGAACATATTCTAGAAAATATGTAAATTCTTCTAAAAGGACACGCTTGACTTTATACATCACTGCAATTTTCGATGCGCAAAGTAATCAGTTTCTGTGAAAGGTTTGAACCCAGGAGTCATTTCAAAAGTAGGTTGAGTTTGATCTTCCGGGTGAACGCAGTCCTGAATAGGACTGTTGTTGACAGTAACAGACGTTTCGACAGCCCGTGCGAGGGGGACACTGGGGAAACCCAATACCGCAAAACCGTAAGAAAATAAGGCAAACACCGAAATACCGCGTCGAAAATTGTCTAATTACCGATACCGCATATGTTAATCACATTTATAATCGGTTCCGAATACTTATGGTTGCTTCCATCTAGCGCGTTTAATAATCTCAGGCATTTATGCACCAGTTGTCCATGGTTTTTTAAATATTTTGGTAGTTCGCAAATTTTCACGAAAAAGTAAACTACATTCGTTCAACTTTTTGGTAGGTCGACCCAACAGCTAATTAACTGCAATGAAAATAACTTTTGAAAGCGCGAAAAATAAACCAACCAAAACCCTTTCCACGCACGTCTAGTGCTAGTTTTGATAAGTGCGTAATTTGCGGCACTAATAATTTTGTCTTTTTGTATGTTAACATGCCACGGGTCCTATGATAATAATAATAATAATAATAATAATAATAATAATAATAATAATAATAATAATAATTTTTTTTTTTTTAATAAAACAAAACTTTATTCATAGATTTAAAAAAAATAGACTATTTACAGATTCAAGAATATGAAATATTAAAATATATACCCTATGTACATTTTTCTTGTCTACGAAAGAGAATTGTTGTAAAATGACTATCTAAAGACTACTAAAGACTACTAAACTCATTTCGATTAAAAACAATTCATTTCAATTAAAAATGAAATAAAAATATTAAAAAGATCCTAAAATAGTTACAAGCCCATGTCACCATCACCCTCTAAAATCAGCGGACACACGCACACGCTTTCATTAATTCCTCTTTAAAATCTGCCACGATTTCAACATGAACCAATGACAACGAGAAGAATATTAAATAGTAGTAATAATTGAATATGCAATATTCAATATCTTTTCTCTAAATCAAAATCTAGCGTCCTAAAAGTCCTAGGAGGAATGTTCTCAGAATGGCAAATGAGATTCTGGT